TTCTTCTTTGGTTTTTCTTATTCCAATGGTTCACTTGCACGGCTTATGACCATTACTTTTATATTCCTGTTATTTAGGTTGGAGAATCAAAGCTTGTGCTAGAGATAGGACAGACAAATCTTCAGCACCAAAATGCCAAGCCATATACTGATGATATGATTCTTTCTATGGCGCTGGCTGAGGTAAGACATGTGGACAGATAGGTTGAATAATTACTCCCTGAATTTGTTGCAGTATTTACCCTTTCTTTACCATTGGTGCTTTCTTGAAGTGTGCAGTTGCGAAGATTGGCTTTGAGAAGAAAAAAGTATCTCAAGGTTTCGAAGCTCTTGCTCGTGCCCAGTGTCTTCTAAGAAGTAAACCATCTCTTTCGAAAATGACACTGCTATATCAGGTAGTTTTTTTAGTAGTCTTTATTCACTAAATATTTTTAAGTCAACATTTTATGAGCGAAAGATTGGGTTATAAAACCTACCCCTTCATTCAACAGAAAAGAATAAAGATCATTAAAGTCAACAAATGAAAAAAAATGTCACTCCTAACTTTTATTTCTGTATGTGAGTTTTCTGAGAATTATTCAGTGCACATATTTAGTGAAAACGATTATTTGCATTTCAACATTACGTTGTTATTGCTTACTATAATTGAAGAAACTTTAAAAGTAGACTTCTGGTCAACTTTGTAAATGGCCAACCTAGGCACAATCAGAGAATACAATAATATAAATATTTAGTAACTCGCGTACTTATTTGTTTTTAGCGACTTTATTACTCTATAAATTCTATTTTAATTTCATTCTCCTTCCTTTGTGTCAGCACTTCATACACTTTTTACTGGCCAATATACCATTCCGTAGCATTGGTGGTTCAACTTAATTTTGAAGAAGAGTCACATTTTGGCTGCTTGCTGAGATATTTTGAAAAACAAAATGATTTTCTTTTCTGAAACAATCGAAACCACCCCTGAAACATCAACTACTTTTCTGTTTGAATTATCACATCATGTCTCTATATTAGGCATGGAACACAATCCTGAGGATGCTTGTCATGGTTTCTAGATTGAAGAATCTCTTGAAGAGCTTGCGCCAGCTTGCACCTTGGAACTACTGAGCATGCCACAGGCTCCTGAACATGTTGATAGAAGACGAGGTGCAATTTCAGCTTTGCGTGAATTGCTCAGGCAGGGTCTTGATGTTGAAGCTTCATGCCAAGTACAGGACTGGCCTTCCTTTCTGTGCCAAGCATTTGACAGTTTGCTGGCTAAAGAGATTGTTGATCTTCTTCCTTGGGATAACTTAGCTGTGATGCGAAAGAATAAGAAGACGATTGAATCACAGAATCTAAAGGCAGTAATAGATTCTAATTGTTTTTATAGAGTTTTTAAAGCTCATATGGCAATTGGGTTTTCCAGCAAGCAGAAAGAGTTGGTAATACCCTCTCTGAATCTTGTAGGCATATAATACCTCCCGTTATAGTTCATATTTCATAAATACTGTTTTCATGGCATACATTTTCAAACAGTGTCTTTCTGAATTTCATCTTGATACTAATTGTTTATGTTGAACTGTTAAATATTTATGCAGATTAACAAAGCAAAAGGAATATGCGAATGTTTGATAGCTTCAGAGGGTATTGATCTGAAATTCGAGGAATCTTTTTGCTTATTCCTACTTGGTCAGGTACATTTTGAATCTTGGTTTCCAGCAGCAATTATTTTTTCCTCCCTTTCCAATTTGTCCTTGTAGTATCTGCAGCATTATTTGTCTCTACTTTTGTCTTAAATTCTAGTGCACGGAGGCTGAGGTGGTTGAAAAGCTTAAACAACTTGAGTTAAACTCAAATCCCAAAAATAATTCAGTCTTGGGGAAGGCAATAATGGATGCTTCTGCCGTAAACCCATCATTGGTATTTTTCTTGTTACCATGTTTATTATAGTTTTTGTTGCTGTTAGGACATGTTAACTATGACTTGGATTTCAAAGAGTATTGTATTTTGGAGCAATTTATGCTCATAAAATGTTTATCCTAGAATTAAAATGGCGGACTGATATACTCATTTAGGTATTTATTTTTTGACTTAGAAGAAACTCCTTTTGACAGAAAATACTTGTGTTTTTGGCGATAGAACAATCTTTATGGATGTTGTTAAGTTTCTACATGACATATCAGCTTATCTTTAATGCTCCAAGTCTTGCGTTATATTTTTCATCTTGAGACTGATAAAATCTCAGGCTTTTTTTAATTTCTTATATCAGACCCCTTGCTGACCTTGTGCAGGAAATTTGGCTGAAGGATTCAGTTCTTGCATTATTTCCGGATACTAAAGATTGTTCTCCAGCTTTGGTGAGATCAGTTATAGTAGGCAACAACTAGTTTCTCACTTTGATTTTGAAAATTAATGTTTATTGATGAACATTTCTGTAGGGCCATTTCTTTAATGCTCAGCAGAAATTTTCTGGAAGCAAGAATTCTAAAGGAGGAGCTCAACAAATGTTGCCCACTATATGTCATAGACCTCTATCCTCATCTGGATCCTTGGAACGAAGAGAAGTTGAGGAATCTCGCTCATACATGAGCTCTTCTCCTACTGTAGGGTTTGCTGTCAAGCAGCTGACTCCTACTGATTTGCGGAGTTCATTGCTATCAGGTAGAAATGAAAATGTAAGCAATCCTATAGAGCCACCAGTTCAAGTGAAAAGGAACCTTGGTAGTCATCGGAGTTCAGGAATTTGGCATGGTTACTTCCCTCAAGGACACATATTTGGAAGAATAACATACTTTACTGTATTGGGTTGTATTGCATTTGCTTCCATTAAGTTGTCAGGAATTGGCGTAAGCAAGACTCTTATTGGTTCTCATTCGGCTTTTACTAAAGCAAATGATAACATTAATTGGGCTGCAGATTCAGCTGACAACCCTGTAGGCCCAGCTTATATTAGGCAAAGTACTGTGGCCAACAAACTGAAGAGGATCCTTTTGATGTTTAAGATACATTTGTTGCAGCAACCAGGTGCCCGAAATCATGATTTACGTACGACCAGTACCTCGTCTTCTATTAATATTTCCAGAAGGCCAATGCCTGTGGAAGAAGCAGAAACCATTGTTAGGCAATGGCAAACAATCAAAGCTGAAGCTTTGGGACCTAGCCATGAAGTTAGTTCCCTAGCTCAAGTTCTTGACGAATCAATGCTTGCTCAGGTAGCTCATGATGTGGCTTTAACCTCTTTTTGATGTGGTCAAGTGCCATTTCAACTTGGTATTGTTCAATAATTCATCTCGGCATTCAGTGAACAACTTCACTGTAAAATCATCAAGCCCCACCCGTATATTTTCTTGATTGCTTTTGACACGTGACATGTATTTGGTAGTTTGTAAATATAATAATAGAATGGAATTATAACGAATACAAAGTCATGTAACTCAAGAAATACAAAGTCATGTAACTCAAGAAAAGAATTAATTCGTGTTGTTATCCTTGACAGTGGAACGGTTTGGCCACTGCTGCAAAAGAAAGATCCTGTTACTGGAGATTTCTTTTGCTCAAGTTATCCATCATTCGAGCTGACATTCTATCAGATGGAAATGGAGCTGACATGGCAGAAATAGAAGCTCTCTTAGAGGAAGCAGCTGAACTCATTGACGGTTCTCGGCAAAAGAACCCTAACTATTATCTGTAACATGCCCAACTGCCTGACTATATGTTTCTGATATTTGTTTTCCTTGGTAACAACAATCAAGCACTGCATAGTGTTAATAATTTGTTTATTAACTTATCTTTTTTCATTGATTGATTGCAGCTCTTACAAAGTCAAGTATGCTATGAAGAGGCAAGACGATGGATCATGGAAGTTCTGTGAAAATGATATAATAGAAACACCATGACGTTTGGCTGATTATTACTATGCCACGCCAGGGTAACTTATGTTGCACACCTAACTTGGTTCCTCCCCTAACCTTCTGTTTTCTGGAGCCTTAAATTTCAAATACAGATCTCCATTCAGGTCAATGATGACACCTAAGTATTTCACTTTACACAATATAAGATCCTACACCCCCTCTTCTTTATGATCTTTACCTGTAAGAAATTCATTGGGATTTATATGATCCTACTGATTGATTCGAATTCATTGTGATGTATCAGAAAAAAAATGAAAAAAATAACATTTCTGATTCAATTTTATTCTAATTCTAACTGAAGTAAGTCAATTGTACTTTTGCTATTCGTATTTTTCCAACGACCTTTAGTTTGATGGTGATGGAAATAAAAAATGTAGAGTTCAAGGACAAGTAATTTTCCATCACCTGTTTATCTTTTTAGCAAGACATCATCAGACTGCAATGCCCTTCAGCCAATGCGCAATGTTGTAATTTAAACGGAGTACAAATTAGAACTTTTTTTTGGTTAGTTTTGGCTTGCTTTTTACGTTTATCAATGCAAATCAAAATTCTTTAGAGAAAAAGAAAAGAAAAGAAAAACAGAACAAGTCCTTCTCTCCCATTACAAAATTGGAGTGAGCTTACAAGTGATTTTGTAATTGTAAGTACATTTTTATTGTGTGAAAATAAGGATAACAATGGATACATGTAGTAATTATCTGTACCTGTTCGTGCTTGCATGGTTATTGAAAAGGTTTATTTTCGAATTTTGTAAATACTAATAGATCTCTGTAAGTATCTGGAAGTATTCTTTCAAATATAAAATTTTAAACAAACATTAATATGAAAACAATGTTTTATTGGAAAATAAGCCATTTATATATTATAGTCTACATACATGGTATATAGGTATTCAAAGACTCTGTCTTAGTCTATTTAGTCTGTACCAAAAATTAAGTATAGCACGTATTTGACATTGAGTTCAGCCTATTAACTACTCATAGCAAGATTCATGCTTAACTTTTTTTATATGCAATTAATAGTATTTTGAATAATTTCAGTTTGTGATACCTGCTATTCATCTTCACTTGATTAATAAGTGAGTATACTGTGTAACTGCAGATATTTTTTGCCATGCGTGTAAAAAATCTTTGATGCTATAACTATATAAATTATTTATTAAAAGAATGCCGATGGTAGGGTTTTTATTATTGATTATGGGTGATTAAAATTTAATAAAAACTTGCTAGATAAATTTATTCAATAATAAGTGAAATATACAAAGATACAAAGTTTTTTTTTAATAATTTTCTCTCAATTAAAAAGAAACATTCTGGAGTGCATTTTTAAGAATGTCGTCATTTTTAATTTACTCGAGATTAAATTATAAATTATTTTTATTATGATATTGATAATGAAAAAGAAAAAAATTGGAATATAAAAAATACCGAAAATTATAATAAGAATTTTATGTTTAAGATTGAATTATTACGGGAGACCTCTTAGAATACACTTTGATATGAAATAGGCTTAATATCCTATTTTGTCTCTAGGCTTGAAAATGTCAAATTAATCACTCTTTTAAAAAGTGCATCATTTACACTCTCACTTAATAAAAATGAAATCTTTTTTAAACTGCATTAACTATTTTTCTCTCTATCCTACTTTTTCTAATGTAGGTTATAGGAGGTTTTTTCTCTCTTTTACTATTCTTCTTCTCTCTTTTACAAATTATACTTATTTCTTTTTTTCTCTATCTACTGTTTCAATAATTTATACACACTGTTCATTAAATAGATTTCAATAATTTATACACACTATTCATTAAATAGATTTGTAAATAATGCACACATTATCTTTAATACTAAAATAGATATTCACGTTTATTTTTCAAATAAACGTATATTCACTCACATTTCCTTAATCTTTTAATATATATTAATCTCCTTATTATTTAAGTAAATGATCACCATTTTCTACATTTTTAATAGTGACACTCATTTTCTCCCTAATATTTTTACTAATTATCTTTCTTTTAAATGTTAAGAAAACTTTAAATGATAATATAAATGAAAATAAATATATAATTGAAAAAAATCATGTTAATTTTGAAATTTTAAAATGGAGAAATAAAAAGAAAAAAAAAATAGAACAATCTTTCATAAAAAACTAAGGAATAAAGGCATTGTATTTAACGTTTTTTCATTTTAAATAATATTGTGTTTTCTTTTTTTAAAGTAAAAAGTCCAAGAAGGAGGGAGGTATTTGGGGGCAGTGGGTTTTGATCTGTGAAACAGCAGCAATAGTAGTACAGGAATTCACATTCTCCACTCAAAATACAGAGACAAAAATGGGAAGACAAGCCGTCACCAGATTGCTGTCCTCTATCGCCTCGCGCCGCCATGGCCTCCGCCAATTCTCGGCGGCCACGCCGGCTGTGTTCGTCGACAAGAGCACACGCGTGATCTGCCAAGGCATCACCGGCAAGAACGGCACCTTTCACACCGAACAAGCCATCGAATACGGCACCAACATGGTTCCCTTTCTCTATCTCCATTTCGATTTCGATTTCGATCCATTCGTTTTTTCATTATTTTCTCGTTAATCCGCCATCGTATGCACACTTTTTGCGTCTGCTAACCCTAACTACTGACACGACAGGTTGGTGGTGTGACTCCTAAGAAGGGTGGAACCGAACACCTGGGCCTTCCCGTCTTCAACACTGTCGCTGAAGCGAAGGCGGAAACCAAGGCCAACGCCTCCGTCATCTACGTTCCTCCGCCATTCGCTGCCGCCGCCATCATGGAAGCCATGGAGGCTGAGCTGGATCTTGTCGTCTGCATCACCGAGGGCATTCCTCAACACGACATGGTAAGTCGTTTCTCGCAAATTCTGAATTCATAATTTGCAATTTGTGAAATAAACATTGCACTTTAAGGTTTGTGTTTTCGTGATCGTGATTGCCTTTTGATTTTGGTATATAGTCTGTCTACTAAGTTAAAATTAGTGTCTACATATAAACTAATATATAGAAGTTCTTTCATTTTAGTTTTTCTAGAAACTGGTTTTAACTTATGCATAGACTGATTTCGTCTTTTAGAAGTTTATTTCATTTTTGTTTTATATTATTTTC